GCTAATTTTGTGTATTTTTTTTGTAGAAACGGGTGGGGTTATCACCATTGTTAGCCAGGCTGTCTTCAAGTTGTATTAACTCCGCCTCAGTCCTTTCCCAAGTGTTTGGATTACAGGGACATGAGCCATATTGTGCCCTAGCCATCTTATAAACTTTTTAATGGATAAGTTTCAATTATTAAACAAATATAGGAGATAAGTTAAATACAACTCAATAATAGGCAGAGGTGGTGGTACCGCGCCTGTAATCCCAGTCTAACTCTGTGGTGGCTGATGAGCTACGAGAATCACTTGAACTTGGAGGGTAGAGGTTTCAGTGAGCTGAAATGGTGCCACTGTACTCCAGCCTGGGCAACAGAACAAGACTCTGTATCAAAAAAAAAAAAAAAAAGATTCTTCATTTCCTTTTCTGAAGAAAAAAAAAAAAAAAAAAAAGTTTAAAAAGTTTCTTTACTACTTGGGTGATTGAAGAAAAAATAGGCTACATTTTCTGCTATAGATTAGACATTATTGAAAAAGATAGACTGTGAAATGGTAGCTTTCAGAAAATGATTTTTTTAACTTGGCTTCTAAGGCAAGAAAAACTATTAACAGAAATATTGTGAATTTAACTATTTTTCAGATACAGTGCCGTAGTCATGAAGAGAAAATTCAGCCTTCAACAGAAGAAACAGAAATCTTTTATCACAGAGGGGTGTAGGCATGAGTTTCAGGTGAATTTATATGCTTCCTGCTTGAAAACCTTCACCTCTCCAGGTTCGGTTTAGAGAACTCTGCCAGAGGTCTTCTGGGGACCCCAGAGGTGTCTGTGCTGACAAGGTGACTTAAAGTTCCACACTGAGATCACTCCCAGGCTGGCATGTCTGGGGTTTTTAAGGCTGGCTGGAGAAGACAGTGGGAGGGTGCCCCGTCTGACATCCCTGGGGTTGCTAAGGAGATGGTTGGAGTGGGGATCGGCCTGCGAAAGGATACTATGAAATCACTAATTACCCTAATAAACCTGTCTCAAGTTGAGTATTTGAAGAAAGAACACAAAGAGTCCACCGTGCCCAGGACACAGGCGTCCAATGGATAGGCCATTTCAAGTGGAACACGTACCCCTGGGGCGCTGTTTATGGCCTCCGACCCCAAAAGCAATCTTGTTTCCTTACTCAGCGTCCTCCAATCTAGACGGCTGCTTAAAACCTTTGCTGCCCTCTGCCCAGTGCCTCCTTTCTCCTCTCTGGAGGCTGAGGCACGAGAATCACTTGAACTCTGGCGGCAGAGGTTGCAGTGAGTCGAGGTCGCGCCATTGCATTCCAGCCTGGGTGACAGAACTAGACTGTGTCTCAAAAAGAAATAAACTGCTTGTCACCTGCCTCATTAGAGACCGGATCTTGCTGTCACCCAGGCTGGAGTACAGTGGCACAACCATAGCTCACTGCAGCCTTGAACTCCTGGGCTCAAGGGACCCACCTGCCTCAGCCTCCTGAGTGGCTGGGACTACAGGCGCCTGCCACCACACCCGGCTGTAGCCAGACCTTAAAAGAGTTGTCGCCCTCACAGTCTCTGCCCCACCTCCAATTCTACTAAGACTGCTCTCATCCGTGACCCACCTGAATGTGGCACTGCCACACTGCTGGGCACTCAGGCTGGTCACTGAGCTGCTTACTTGGCTGCACTTTGCCATATGGATGTCCCAGACACCTCAAACTCAACCCATCCAAACTTGAAAGCAGCTCTCCCTCCCAGTCTCAGGAATTGACACCACCACCTACCCAGGTGCACCAGACAGGATCACTGGAGACGCCCTCTCCCCACCTTAACCCCAGCGTATTCAGTAGACGGGGCCCAGTACATGGAGTCTGGAACCCATGTATGCCCGCTGCTACTGCCCAGCGCAGTCCAACAGCGTCCCCTGCTGGCACTGCCTGGCCCATCTCCTGCCTACTCCCTCTGGTTCACGTTCCAGCCTGCTCTTCTAAATCACACCTGCTGAACAGTTTTTTTTGTTTTGAGACGGAGACTTGCTCTGTCACTCAGGCTGGAGTGTAGAGTGCAGTGGCACGATCTTGGCTCACTGCAACCTCCACCTCTTGGGTTTCACGCGCGTCCGTGTGAAAAGACCACCAAACAAGCTTTATGTGAGCAATAAAGCTTTTTAATCACCTGGGTGCAGGTGGGCCGAAGAGAGTCAGTGAAGGGAGATAGGGGTGGGGCCGTTTTATAAGATTTGGGTAGGTAGTGGAAAATTAGTCAAAGGGGGTTGTTCTCTGGCTGGCAGCGGTGGGGGTCACAAGGTGTTCAGTGGGGGTGCTTTTGAGCCAGGATGAGCCAGGAGAAGGAATTTCACAAGGTAATGTCATCAGTTAAGGCAGGAACAGGCCATTATCACTTGTTTTGTGATTCTTCAGTTACTTCAGGCCATCTGGATGAATACATGCAGGCTTGGGCTCAGAGGCCTGACACTGGGTTCGAGTGATTCTTGTGCCTCAGCCTCCTGAGTAGCTGGGACTACAGGTTTGCACCAGCCACCACATTCAGCTAATTTTTGTTTGTTTTGTTTTTAGTAGAGATGGGGTTTCACCCTGTTGGCCAGGCTGTCATCTGTCCTTGTGATCCACCCGCTTTGGCCCCTCAAAGTGCTGGGATTACAGGCATGAGCACCGCACCCGGCCTGAAAAACCTTAAATGGCCTCCCAGTGCGTCAGGATCAAGCCCACATTCCTCACCACAGCAAGCCTTTCCCGTACTCATATCCTGCCACTCCCTCCCCTCCCTCTAGACCCTTCAGGTCCTCACATGGGCTGTGGTCTCTTCTCCAGACCTTCACACAGCTGTTTCCTCTGGTCTGAGTAGATGTCTTCTTATGCTTCAGGTCTGACTTTGACATCGATCACTCCCTCTGAGAGGCCTTCCAGGATTGACAGCACTGAACTGGGTCCCCATCTGTGTGCTCCGATACCACTCTGTTTCACACATCACGCCTAGCACTAGCCGCACGACAGCAGCCTGTTTGCTGACCCTATTCCCCAAGCGGACTGTGCGCAGCACCGCGAGAGCAGGGACTGCTGCCCATAAGGGTAGCCCAAAATACAACATAGGCATGGCCCAGAGTAGGTACCTCAACATTTGAGTATTGGACTAATGTTTTCAATGCACCCTACCCCAAATTACCGAATAATTATCTGTGGTTTTGTTTCCCCAAGGCCAGAATGACAGTTAATTTCCAAATCTGGTGAGGAGAGTTTCACAACAGCCTAAAAGGGCAAAATCAGTAAATGGCTCAGTCTGACCACAGGCTGACACTAACCAAAATTAAAGTTAGAGAACAAGATGGGCAACAGCTGCAGGTGGAGGTTTAACCACTACCAGATGACAGAAATGTGAAGGCACCTTCCAAGGACAGGAGACTGAAGTTACAGAGGCAGCTCCAGGAAGGCAAGTGGAGGAGGGCTAGGGCGGGAGGAAAAGGTGTGTGGCGAGGGATGGCTTGAACTTTTTTTTTTTTGAGACCGAGTCTCATTTTGTTGCCCCGGCTGGAGTGCAATGGTGCAATCTCGGCTCACTGCAACCTCCGCCTCCCAGGTTCAGGCAATTCTCCTGCCTCAGCCTCCTGAGTAGCTGGGATTACAGGCACCCACCACCACACCCAGCTAATTTTTGTACTTTTAGTAGAGACGGGGTTTCACCACGTTGGCCAGGCTATTCTCAAACTCTTGATCTCAGGTGATCCGCCTACCTCGGCCTCCCAAAGTGCTGGGATTACAGGCGTGAGCCACTGCGCCCTTGGCCATCCTGAACTTTCAGACAGGTCTTTTAATAATTCCCTAGTGCCCTCACAGTTTTTTTTCTCCGTTTTCTTTGGAATGAGCAGAATTAGAGAAAGAGGGGACAATTCGTCACCCACCTAAAAGTAGTTGAATATCAAAATATTTCCATTTTATTTCTGCATCATAAATTTATAATTTTAACAACTTTGATCATTAGCTAATATAGTAATACAAAAAAATGAGGAAAAAGATGTTAGTATTTTTCATTTCCATAAAGTGCAGATTTAATTTTCAATTATTTGCCTTAGTAAACATCATCTTATTTCAGGTCCTCCCCTGCCCTCACTCAAAAAGGGAGGGTGTTTAATTTTTATTTAACAAATATGTAATACCAAGGAAAAAAAGAAAGATCCAATAATGTTTTTTGCAAACATGTTTCCAGGTAAGATTTCCAAGGCCATCAGTACTGAGTGAAAGTAATCCCTTACAATCAACATGAATGACACACTAACAAGCACGTAATTGAGGCCTCCATGCTGATTTGGCAATGTTAAGGTCTCCAGTTGTGAAAAAGGTACATAAATGAATACAAACAGTTGGCTTGACATGTGGCCAAATTACTTTCACCAAAGTTGTTGGAAGCCTTTCTCTGGTTTTGACCCCTGTAGGAAGTTAATCTCATATTCCCTTAGCAATAATACAAGGTCACTATTTCAGTCCTACACACTGTTATATTCAATGGGCTTCTTAGTTTACCACATAAGGACTGGCACCTTTTTCAAAAGAATATTGCTAACAGGGTTAAGTGAGTGCTAATGGCTGAACGTTTGCCAAATGCTTACATCTGCGATAGTATAAATATGGATTATTAAAGTTGTCTACTCAAGTATAAAATATATGCAAAACTCTCATAATATAGGCAAAATATTCAAAAGCCGGGAAAAACCTTTTTTGTTTGTTTTTTTAACTTTTACAAGAAAGTGCAACCACGGGCTCTCTTGAATGATCTTCTAGACAGTTCCGCAGAAAACTTAGCAGTTGGGCTCAGAAAGTAGAGTTCCTCAGGAGGAATTAAAGTTCTTCCTAGAATACAAAGGGACATTTCAGGCAGCTTTCTGAAAGTAAACCATTCGCTTATGACTACACAGTGAGAAACTGGAATGTGTAATAATGAAGGCTTTCGCATTTGTCATAATGTGCTTTTTTTCTCTTACCCCAGGACCTCTAGCTGTTTTGTAATGTTCTATAAAGTAGTAACAGCACTTTGTCCAGCACTGACAGCAGGCAGGAAACTAATCAGCTAGGAGAAAATCAGAAGTATGTTCATGTGTTTCATTGTTTTTCAGGTCAAATCTCAATACCTGCAAATAAATCATTAAAAATATATAACAGTTTCTCTGTTATTTTCAGGACTTTATGTAGTTAATGGATAATCAGAGTGAAAGAGGGCTTTCTATCAGTCATCAGTGATACATTCTGTCACACAGTCAGATTTTCAGCATTTGTTCGGCTGCTGCTAGATGATAAAGGAAGTTTTCTGTTGCTGGTGGAAATCGTTTTTGCTTTAGTGCCTCCAAATTAAGGACTCTCTTTTCTCCATCAGCCGAAACTTCTGAAAATGGTGCTAGGTTGGTAAAGATTTCTCTTGTTTTTAGAGCAATATCCTTTAATAGAACAGGAAAATATGCAACATGTTAGTATCCAAAATTTGAATATTTACTCTGTAGAATTCTTTCTGCTATTTTTTTCAGACTGTTTATAAACTATGAAAAATGAGCTCGGCATGGTGGCTCATGCCTGTAATTCCAGCACTTTGGGAGACCGTGGCAGGAGGATGGCTTGAGCCAAAAGTTAGAGGCTGCAGTGAGCCATGATTGCACCACTGCACTCCAGCCTGGGCAACCCTGTCTCAAAAATGAACAACAAAAAAGGTAACTCCTTTTTTTGTTGTTTTTGAGACAGGGTCTTGCTCTGTTACTCAGGTTGGAGTGCAGTGGTGCAATCATGGCTCACTGCAGCCTCGACTTCCCAGGCTCAAGTGATCTACCCACCTCAGCCTCCTGAGTAGCTGGGACTACAGGCTTGCGCCACCACACCCAGCTAATTTTTTAATACTTTTTGTAGAGATGGGGTTTCACCATGTTGCCCAGGCTGGTCTCAAACCCCTGGGCTCAAGCGATCTGCCCACCTCAGCCTCCCAAACTGCTGGGATTATATATCTGAGCCATTGCACCTGGCCTGATAATTCTTTTTAAAGAAAAAAATTAGGAAAAATGAAACAAATTAACTTAGAAAAATCATATTTTTATTATTTGTTTTTTTTACCATTTTAGCCATTTTCTGAGTGTATAATTCAGTGGCATTAAGTACATTTGCAACGATGCACAACCATCATCCCTATTTCCAGCACTTTTCACCATCACAAACAGAAACTCTGTACCCATTAAATATCCGCATTTCCCCTCGCTTAGCCCTGGTAACCTCTGCTTTCTAACTCTGTGAATTTGTCTGCTCTAGATAGCTCATATACGTGGAATCATAAGACGTTTACCCTTTAGTGTCTGGCTTACTTCATTAGCATGTTTTCAAGGTTCATCCATGTTATAGCATGTATCAGAATTCTATTCCTTTTTTCGCCCCCCAATAAAAACCACATTCAAAACATTCCATTCCTTTTTCAGCTGAGTAATATTCTACTGTATATAAAGATTACATTTTGTTTGCCCAGTCATCTGCTGAAGGACACTAGGTTGCTTCTGCCACCTTTTAAAGGCTACTGTGAGTAACACTGCTATGGATATTTCCATACAAGTACAGTCATGCACCACATAATGACGTTTTGGTCAACCAGGGACCACATATACAATAGTAGTATCATAAGATGATAATGCTATATTTTTACTGTATTGTTTCTTTTTCTTTTTCTTTCTTTTTTTTTTGAGATGGAGTTTCGCTCTTGTTGCCCAGCCTGGAGTGCAATGGCACAATCTCGGCTCACTGCAACCCCCCACCTCCCAGGTTCGAGCAATTCTCCTGTCTTGGCTTCCCAAGTAGCTGGGATTACAGGTGCCCACTACCACACCCGGCTAAGTTTTGTATTTTTGGTAGAGACAGGGTTTTGCCATGTTGGCCAGGCTGGTCTCGAACTCCTGACCTCAGGTGATCCACCCACCTCGGCCTCCCAAAGTGCTGGGATTACATGCATGAGCCATCAGGCCCGGCCAAGTCCCTGCTTTCAATTATTTTGGGTATATACCCAGCAACAGCATTGCCAAATCATATGGTAACTCGATATTTAACTTTTTGAGAAATGCTGCTACTGTTTTTTGAAGGAATCTCTTCCCAAAAGTCCTTGTCTGCCTGGGATAAGTAACCCAGCACCTGCCACGCAGGCTTTATTCCTTTTGGGTGGCTGAGGACTCACTAAAGCGCTCATTAAAATCATGTCTTCTGGCCAGGCATGGTGGCTCATGCCTGTAATCCCAGCACTTTGGGAGGCCGAGGCGGGCAGAGCACTGGCTCCAGTCAGGAGTTCAGGATCAGCCTGGTCAACGTGGTGAAACCCCATCTCTATTAGAAATACAAGATTAGTCAGGTGCGGTGTCAGGCACCTGTAATCCTGGTGCCTGCTACTTGGGAGGCTGAGGTAGGAGAATCATTTGAACCTGCGTGGTGGAGGCTGCAGTGAGCCAAGATTGCACCACTGCACTCCACCCTGGGTGACAGTGAAACTCAATGAAGAAAAAAAGTAAAAAAATCATGTCTTCTTTCTTGTTTGCTAACATCATTAATTCATGCATATATTTTTGAACCCTCTCTGCTCTAGATAGCTCATATACGTGGAATCATAAGACGTTTACCCTTTAGTGTCTGGCTTACTTCATTAGCATGTTTTCAAGGTTCATCCATGTTATAGCATGTATCAGAATTCTATTCCTTTTTTCGCCCCCCAATAAAAACCACATTCAAAACATTCCATTCCTTTTTCAGCTGAGTAATATTCTACTGTATATAAAGATTACATTTTGTTTGCCCAGTCATCTGCTGAAGGACACTAGGTTGCTTCTGCCACCTTTTAAAGGCTACTGTGAGTAACACTGCTATGGATATTTCCATACAAGTACAGTCATGCACCACATAATGACGTTTTGGTCAACCAGGGACCACATATACAATAGTAGTATCATAAGATGATAATGCTATATTTTTACTGTATTGTTTCTTTTTCTTTTTCTTTCTTTTTTTTTTGAGATGGAGTTTCGCTCTTGTTGCCCAGCCTGGAGTGCAATGGCACAATCTCGGCTCACTGCAACCCCCCACCTCCCAGGTTCGAGCAATTCTCCTGTCTTGGCTTCCCAAGTAGCTGGGATTACAGGTGCCCACTACCACACCCGGCTAAGTTTTGTATTTTTGGTAGAGACAGGGTTTTGCCATGTTGGCCAGGCTGGTCTCGAACTCCTGACCTCAGGTGATCCACCCACCTCGGCCTCCCAAAGTGCTGGGATTACATGCATGAGCCATCAGGCCCGGCCAAGTCCCTGCTTTCAATTATTTTGGGTATATACCCAGCAACAGCATTGCCAAATCATATGGTAACTCGATATTTAACTTTTTGAGAAATGCTGCTACTGTTTTTTGAAGGAATCTCTTCCCAAAAGTCCTTGTCTGCCTGGGATAAGTAACCCAGCACCTGCCACGCAGGCTTTATTCCTTTTGGGTGGCTGAGGACTCACTAAAGCGCTCATTAAAATCATGTCTTCTGGCCAGGCATGGTGGCTCATGCCTGTAATCCCAGCACTTTGGGAGGCCGAGGCGGGCAGAGCACTGGCTCCAGTCAGGAGTTCAGGATCAGCCTGGTCAACGTGGTGAAACCCCATCTCTATTAGAAATACAAGATTAGTCAGGTGCGGTGTCAGGCACCTGTAATCCTGGTGCCTGCTACTTGGGAGGCTGAGGTAGGAGAATCATTTGAACCTGCGTGGTGGAGGCTGCAGTGAGCCAAGATTGCACCACTGCACTCCACCCTGGGTGACAGTGAAACTCAATGAAGAAAAAAAGTAAAAAAATCATGTCTTCTTTCTTGTTTGCTAACATCATTAATTCATGCATATATTTTTGAACCCTCACAGCATTCCCAGCACTTTCACTTGCCCTCCCCAAGGTCACATATATTATACTAAGTCATCTAGGTAGCACTTTTAATCTGTGAACAACACAGTAATGCAAAACTCAAGTTCACATATGTTGCCGATATTGTAAGAGTATGTCTTTACTCTAATGCTGGGGGTTAGGTGGGCAGTGAGGATTCACATGGTAGGAAGGCAGCAGCCCCAGAGTCTCCAGTGTTCAGGTCCTCAGGGCAAGATCAGCCCACTCTTCCTGCTCACAGCTGGCCAGGCCATCAGCACTGCAGAGAAATGGCCCCTCTCATCTTTCTGCTGACATGTCACCTCCTTAGAGAGCTGGCCTACCCCTCCCCCAGTATTCTCCACCTCAACCCCTTCTGTCACAGCACCTATCATGGGTTGTAATTATCTTGTCATTCATTATTTTCTGTGCATCTACTCCACTGAAGTACAGGCTCCATGAGGGCAGGGATTTGCTCACCACTGCATCCCCACTGCCAGTGCAATGCCTGACAAACAGAGCTCAAGAAACACTGAGTAAATGAATGGATAAATGGAGAAGGCGCCAGGTTGGGCCGAATGAGTATAGCCTGCATATCAGAGGTGCCCCTGTGCCCCCAGGGAGGACAGGTGCAGACAGAGACAGTCCTTTTGGGCCCTCCAGCCCCAGGTTATGAGTCAGGCATCTAGATGAGGCAACGCTGGAAGTTTATCCTTCAGGAGAGGAGCAAGGAGCTGGGAACAGGCCAAATGCAAGGAGCTGGGCAGGCTGCAGGCCACTATGTAGAAAGTACAAGAAATAAAATCCATTTGCCATTCCAGTTTGGCAAGGGCAGAGCAGGTGCCCTCTGGTCCACGTGCCAGGTAGACCCCAGCAAGGAGCTGGCTCTGTGGCATGTGGCAACAGTCACTAAGTGGGACAGGAGTCTGACTGCATTTCTGTTGTCCTGGAGACATGCAAAGCCAAATTTTGACAATCTATCTAGTTCCCCATGTTCAGCAACAACCTCCCCTTTATAATTTGTTCCTCCAGGGAAATTCTCCTAGGAAGAGAGAACGCACTGGCTGGCCCAGAAAAGCCTTCCAGACCACTTGGGAGTTACATTTCTGTTTGCCAACGGTCGGCGTCAGCACCAGCCCCAGTGTATACCTGCCCTCGAGCCCGGTAACTAACGAGATCAGGCCAGCCTGCACCTGCTTGTCCATCATCGCTGTGGCCGTCTGCAAACCCTCCTCTAAGCACCTGCCCGCTGGCCTCTCCCACAGCCCCCCACTCTGCTGATGTGCACACCTCTGCCGCACACCACCCAGCGGCACCGGGTCAGGACTTCCAGTAAGTCAGAAGGTGAGGGAGTTACCTGTATCACCTGGCTGTCTGATTTCTCTGGATCTTCTGCAGACTGAACAATTAGTTGACCCATTTCTTTGTGCAGTTTGCCCATTGCCATGGCCTCTGGTGAGATCAAGAAGGTGAATATTTAGAAATTGACATAATAAAAACTAATCATGCCATCTATCTGAAAACTTGAAAGACCACACTGAGGAAATTTTCAAACAGCAGCTGACAACCTCCCACATGTCCATTTTATCACTAGCCACAAATACGACAACATGCTGGGAGGAAAGGCATAATATAATCGTGATTTATACTTCTTGGCCAACATAAAAACACATCACACCAAACCAGATTTCCCCTTCACACCCACCTGACCAGAACTTTTATTTTTCTTCCCAAAGCATAATGAACAATTCTGACTACAACTAAATTGTGACTATAAGCCAAGAGCCTGACCTTCTAGTCCAGCTCTTTTCAGTTAAGAAATGTATCTTTTTGGTGGGAATATTGTGAAAGAGGAGTTTCCTGTCAGTTCTGCAGAAGACAGCTGGGCACTCAATTCGTTTAGGTTCTTAGACATGAGCAAAGGAAGCCACCTAAGTTAGCTTGGTTACAAACACTGCTACTGTCTGCACTGAGGAGGTTAACAGAAACTTGTTTGTCACTTCAAGAGACAAACTCCATTCAAACGGTGCTGATTAGGATGAGCCCATTTTATAGACACAGAGCAACACAGGGCAGCAGGGAGATGGCCACTCTTTCTGGTCCTAACGCTTCAGCTGCTTAAGTGGCCCAGGCCACAGCCAGTTTTCTTTCACTTTCGCTTTGCAAAAGGCAGTTATTTCCTAAAGATCTGAACCCACAGTTTGAATTTTTCACCATGAGTGTGCATTATGTTTGCAATTTTACAATGAATTAAAGGAAAGTCAGTTATGGTTCTATTAATTTGAAGTTGTTCAATAAAACCTCACATAATTGAATCTAACAGTTCCCAATTCAATTCCCAATCAGTCAGCATTCAGCTGTCCCCACTTTTAGGAGAAAGATAAGTGACAAAACAAAGCTGTTAGCAGTAATCCCATCTAAAACCACTACCTGAGTAGTGCTCTGGGCTCAACACACATTTAAGCCAATCTTTTCTACTTTATGTAGCTGTAATTTGGGACAATTTAAAATGTCTAAGAATGCCACTCTAACACTAGTACACCCTTTCCTGATCCTTAGCTCTAAGAACTGTTTCATTCCCTTGTGCTTACCGAGACGTGCTTCAAAAAGATTTTCCATACTGGAGTCACATTTAACCCTGTGTAGTGATAAACGTCTACATATTCTTTGATACGCCTTTCTTCAAGAGTTGGAGACTTCCTCCTTTCCCCTTAAATGTTGACTAAACTTAGTGATTTGCTTCTAACAAATAGCATATGGAGGAAGTAATGATGTGACTATCAATGTCTTTATCAAGACAAGATTATAAAACGCACTGTGGCTTCCTTCTCTCTCTTGGGTCACTCACTCTTGAGGGAGCCAGCTGTCATATTGTAAGAACTCTCAAGCAGCCCTATGGAGAGGCCCATGGCAGGAGGAACTGAGACCTCCTGCCAACAGACATGCACGTTGAAAGCGGGTGTTTTTGCCCCAGTGGAGCCTTCAGATGACTGTGGCTCAGGGATATCGTGACTGAAACTTCCTGAGCCAAAACTACCTCTAGATAAGCCATTCCTGATTCACCAAAACTGTGAGATAAATATTTGTTGTTTTAGAACATGATGGCTCACACCTGTAATCCCAGCACTTTGAGAGGCTGAGGTCAGTGGATCACTTGAGGTCAGGAGTTCAAGACCAGCCTGGCTGACATGGTGAAACCCTGTCTCAACTAAAAATACAAAAATTAGGCCAGGCGCAGTGGCTCACGCCTGTAATCCCAGCACTTTGAGAGGCCGAGGCAGGCGGATCACGAGGTCAGGAGCTCAAGACCAGCCTGACCAACATGGTGAAACCCCATCTCCACTAAAAATACAAAATTAGCTGGGCACGGTGGTGGGCGCCTGTAATCCCAGCTACTTGGGAAGCTGAGGCAGGAGAATCACTTGAACCTGGGAGGCGGAGGTTGCAGTGAGCCAAGACCGTGCCATTGTACTCCAGCCTGGGCAACAGAGTAAGACTCCAACTTGAAAAAAAAAAAATTAGCCAAGCATTGTGGTGCATGCCTGTAAACCCAACTGCTCGGGAGGCTGAGACATGAGAATCACCTGAATCTGGGAGGCATAGGCTGCAGTGAGCCAAAATCAGGCCACTGCACTCCAGCCTGGGTGACAGAGCGAGATTCCACCTCAAAAAAAAAAAAAAAAAAAAAGAAGAAAGGAATATTTGTTGCTTTAAACCACCAAGTTCTGTATGACTCAGAGACATTTCAAAATTAAGAAAATAAACCACTAAGTTCTGAAGTAATTTGTTACGTGGCAATAGATAATACACCTTGTTTAAACACAAAAGTGGTGAAACAAGATGAACAGACTATTTAACTTCTTAGCATATACTTTGCTTTGTAAGCACCCGGGATGTTCTGCTCATATGTCTATAGTCTGCAGGAATAAGTGTTGTGTTCTAGACACGGAAATATCCATCTTCAGCAGAGTGGGTAAGCCAGCCCTCAAATACTGGTTTTAGAGAATCAGCCTAAAAATGTGCAACTGTTTGGCTTATATCTTGTATCAAGAACAGAACAGAACAGAGAACAAACCTTTTGCAAGGGGAGCAATGGTAATCTCACTCTCTGCCAGATTCACAAACACATCATAGAGGTCTGGTCTGTTGCTCACCTCCAGGTCTACAAATCCAGCGATGTAACCTGCATCATAAACATGACCAACCTTACTGGAGTAGGAAGAAATATGGTGAACCCATCAAAAGCATTGGGTCTAAAAGCTCATTGACTGCTCTCTTTCACTGCTTTATTCATTTGGGAACATTAGCTGCACCCTGTGGCAGTTACTTAGACTACATTATTATCAGTTGCCTGAAGAAATTCACACAACTCCAAATATTCCAAAATCATCCGTCAGTGTCAAAGACGAGACTGAAGTAGGGCATTTACTTTCCAATCATTGCTCTTGGGGTCAAGAATGATAGCTGGGGCAGAAGGCAGCAAGGAATCTCTTGACTGATGTTCCCCCTTCAGGTCTTTGCATTCAGGAAATCAATACCAAATGCCTGGGTTCTCAGGGTAGAAATGGCATCATCTTTAAGGATTCAAGGCAAATCAGGAATTAGCAGACCTCTGGGATTGGTGTTAGAACAATGATTCCCAGATTTTTTTGATTTCACAGAGCAATACAATTACCAAAAAAAAAAAAAAAATCTGAGGAGTGACTGGTATGGTTTGGATCTGTGTTCCCACCCAAATCTCATGTCGAATTGTAATCCTCAATGTTGGAGGTGGGGCCGGCTGAGAGGTGACTAGATCATGGGGGTGATTTCTCATGAATGGTTTAGCACCATCCCCTTAGTGTGGTTCTCATGATTGAGTTCTCACAAGATCTGGTTTAAAAGTATACAGCACCTTCCCCCACCTTCCTCCTGCTCCAACCATGTAAGACGTGCCTGCTTCCCCTTCACCCTCTGCCATGATTGTAAGTTTCCTGAGGCCTCCACAGAAGCTGAAGCCACTATGCTTCCTGTACAGTCTGCAGAACCATGTGCCAATTCAACTGCTTTTCTTTATAAATTACCTAGTATCAGTTATCATTTTTTTTGTTTTTTTTTTTTTTTGAGACAGAGTCTCACTCTGTAACCCAGGCCAGAGTATAGTAGCATGATCTTGGCTCACTGTAACCTCCACCTCCAGGGTTCAAGTGATTCTCCTGCCTCAGCCTCCTGAGTAGCTGGGACTACAGGCATGTGCCACCACGTCTGGCTAATTTTTGTATTTTGAGTAGAGACGGGGTTTCACCATATTAGCTAGGTTGGTCTCAAACTCCTGACCTCGTGATCCACCCGCCTCAGCTTTCCAAAGTGCTGGGATTACAGGCGAGCCACCGCACCCGGCCTTTTTGTTCATTGGTTTTTGAAACAGAGTCTCTCTGTTGCCCAGGCTGGAGGGCAGTGGCGCAATCTTGGCTCACTGCAACCTCCACCTCCTGGGTTTAAGCAATTCTCCTGTCTCAGCCTCCTGAGTAGCTGGGACTACAGGCATATGCCACCACGCCCGGCTAAGTTTTGTATGTTTAGTAAAGACAGGGTTTCACCATATTGGTCAGGCTGGTCTTGAACTCATGACCTCAGGTGATCCACCCACCTCAACCTCCCAAAGTGCTGGGATTACAGGTGTGAGCCACCATGCCCGGCCTTCAGTTATTTATAGCAGTGCAAGAACACACTAATACAAGGACCAATTTATCATTCCTAGAGTTTTACTTTAAAAAACAACAGGTGGGGGCAGTGGCTCACGCCTGTAATCCCAGCACTTTGGAAAGTCGAGGTGGGAGGATCACTTGAGGCCAGGAGTTTGAGACCGTCCTGGCCAACATGATGAAACCCTGTCTCTACTAAAAATACAAAAATTAGCTGGTGGCCAGGAGCAGTGGCTGATGCCTGTAATCCTAGCACTTTGGGAGGCTGAGGTGGGTGGATTGCTTGAGCTCAGGAGTTCCAGGCCTGCCTGGGCAACATGGTGAAACCCGAAACCCCATCTCTACTAAAAAAAAATATATATATATATATATATATATAAAAAATTAGCTGGGCATGGTGGCACATGCCTATAGTCCCTGTTACTCGGGAGGCTGAGGCACGAGAATCGCTTGAATCTGGGAGGTGGAAGTTGCAGTGAGCCAAGATCACGTCACTGCACCCCAGCCTGGGTGACAGAGCAAGACTCTGTCTCAAAAAATAAAATAAAATAAAATAATTAACAAAACAACAAAAACAAAACCTACTACTGAGAGCCAGACCCAGGCCCACCCATGAATGAGAAAATGTGACAGATGACAAGTAATATTACTCATTACTGAAAAAAGAGATTATTCAATAAATGTCCTGGTCCAAGTGGTTATCTATAGGGTAAAAAAGTTCAGTCAGATCCCAAACTCACACACTACACAAAAAATTATTCCAGATAAATTAATAACTTAACTGGGAAATAAAAAACATTAAAAAATTTTGGGCCAGGCACAGTAGCTCACACCTATAATCTCAGCACTTTGGGAGGCCAAGGCGGGTGGACTGTTCGAGCTCAAAAGTTTGAGACCAGCCAGGGCAACATGGTAAAACCTTATCTCTACAAAAAAAAAAAAAATACAAAAATTAGCCAGGCACGGTGGCACATGCCTGTAGTCCCAGCTACTTGGGAGGCTGGGGTAGAAGGATGGCTTAAGCCCAGGAGGTGGAGGTTGCAGTGAGCTGAGATTGAGCCACTGCACTCCAGCCTGGGCAACAGAGCAAGACCCTGTCTTAAAAAAAAAAAAGAAAAAGAGAACGAAAAATTTTCATAAGAAAATGTCCGGCAAAGTGGCTCATGCCTATAATCCCAGATTCCAGGAATTCGAGACAAGCCTGGGCAATAAAGCAAGACCTTGTATCTAAAAAAAAAAAATACAGACGGCTGGGTGCGGTGGCTCATGCCTGTAATCCCAGAACTTTGGGAGGCCAAGGCAGGTGGATCATCTGAGGTCAGGAGTTCAAGACCAGCTTGACCAATATGGTGAACCCCTGTCTCTACTAAAAATACAAAAATTAGCCAGGCGTGGTGGTGGGTGCCTGTAGTCCCAACTACTCAGGAGGCTGAGACAGGAGAATTGCTTGAACCAGGGAAGTGGAGTTTGCAGTGAGCTGAGATCATGCCACTGTACTACGGCCTAGATAACAAAGCGAGACTTCGTCTCAAAAAAAGACAGGCAATAACAAACGATGGCAAGGATGTAGAGAAAAAGAACTCTTGTACACTGTTGGTGGGAATGTAAATTAGTACAGTCACTATGGAGAACAGTATGGAAATTCCTCAAAAAACTAAAAATAGAACTACCATATGATCCAGCAATCCCACTACTGGGTATTTACCCCCAAAAAAGTAAATCAGTGTATCAAAGAGATACCACCACTCCCATGTTCATTGCAGCACTGTTCATAACTGCCAAGATTTGGAATCCAACCAAGTGTCCATCAGCAGATGAATGGAAAAGAAAATGTGGTACATATACACAGTGGAATATTATACAGCCATAAAAAGGAATGAAATTCTGTCATTTGCAACAACATGGATGGAATTGGAGGCATCAATGTTAAGTAAAAGAAGCAAGGGCAGAAAGACAAATTTTGCATGTTCTCACTTATTTGTGGGAGCTAAAAATTAAAACAATGGAACTCCGGGAGATAGAAAGTAGAATGGTGGGTACCGGAGGTTAGGAAGGGTAGTGGGGAGAGGAGGAAAATTTGGGATGGTTAGTGGATACAAAAATATAGTTAGAATGAATAAGACCTAGTATTTGATAGCACAATAGGGTGACTACAGTGAATAATTTATTGTATATTTAAAAATAACTAGAAGTTGGCTGGGCACAGTGGCTCACACCTGTAATCCCAACACTTTGGGAAGCTGAGGCAGGTGGATCACCTGAGGTCAGAAGTTTGAGACCAGCCTGGCCAACATGGTAAAACCCCATCTCTATTCTCTAACAAAAATACAAAAAAATTAGCCGGGCATGGTGTGCACACCTGTAATCCCAGCTACTCGGGCAGCTGAGGCAGGAGAATCGCTTGAACCTGGGAGGTGGAGGCTGTAGTATGCTGAGATTGTGCCACTGCACTCCAACCTGGGCAACAGAGTGAGACTCCAACTCAAAAAAAAACTAGAAGTGGAATCACAACGTCCCTAAAACAAAGAAATCATAAATGCTTGAGGTGATGGATACTGCAATTACCCTGATGTAATCATTATATACATTGTAGGCCTGTATCAGAACATCACATGTATGCCATAAATACATATACCTATTATATACCCATAATAATTAAAAAGTTAAGATGAAAAAAAAAAGTCACTGGTAAACTTTTAAGACTAGAACTTTACAAGTTCTGCTGGGCACAATGGCTCATGCAATCCAGGCACTTTGGGAGGCCGAGGCGGGAGGATCACCTAAGGTAAGGAATTTGAGACCAGCCTGGCCAACATGGAGAAACCTTGTCTCTACTAAAAATATAAAAATTAGCTGCGTATGGTGGCAGGTGCCTGTAATCCCAGCTACTAGGGAGGCTAAGGCAGGCGAATTGCTTGAACCCAGGAGGTGGAGGTTGCAGTGAGCCGAGATCACACCGTTGCACTCCACCCTGGGCAAAAAGAACAAAACTCCATCTCAAGAGAAAAAAAAAGAACTTTACAAGTATAATTTAAAAAATTTAAAAGATGGGGTCTCCTGTGTTGCCCAGGCTGGTCTGGAACTCCTGGGCTCAGGCGATCACCCCATCTCGGCCTCCCAAAGTGCTGGGATTACAGGTGTGAGGCACTGTGCCCAGCCAAAAACAGGTTGCATTTTGATGATGGCTGAACAACAATGTGAATGTACTTAATGCCACTGAACTCTATGTTTAAAAATGGTTAAAAAGGTAAATGGAGCTGTGCGTGGTGGCTGACGCCTGTAATCCCAACAGTGTGGGAGGCCAAGATGGGCAGATCGCTTGAGTTCAGGAGTTCAAGACCAGCTTGAGCAACATAGGAAGACCCGGTCTCAAAAAAAAAAAAGTAAATCTTTTTTTTTCTGGAGACAAGAGTCTCGCTCTGTCGCCCTAGCTGGGGTGCAGCAGCTCAATCTTGGCTCACTGCGACCTCCATCTCCTGGATTGAAGCGATTCTTGTGCCTCAGCCTCCCAAGTAGCTGGGACTACCCATCACCAAGCCTGGCTAATTTTTTTTTTTTTGTATTTTAATAGAGATGTGGTTTTACCGCATTGGTTAGGGTGGTCTCAAACTCCTGAGCTCAGGCAATCCACTTGCCTCAGCCTCCTAAAGTGCTAGGGTTACAGGTATGAGGCACCGCGCCCGGCCAAGAAAAGGTAAATTCTACATGCATTTTACCAAAAAAAAAAATTTTTTTTTTTTGAGACGGAGTTTCACTCTTGTTGCCCAGGCTGGAGTCAGTGGCGTGATCTCGGCTCACCACAACCTCCGCCTCCTGGGTTCAAGCGTTTCTCCTGCCTCAGCCTCCCAAGTAGTTGGGATTACAGGCATGCACCACCATGCCCGGCTAATTTTTTGTATTTTTAGTAGAGACTGGGTTTCTCCATGCTGGTCAGGCTGGTCTTGAACTCCCGACCTCAGGTGATCCACCCACCTTGGCCTTCCAAAGTGCTGGGATTACAGGCGTGAGCTACCGCGCCCAGCCACAATTTTTTTTTAAACTAAAAAAAAAAAAAAAAAAGTAAGGGCAAAAAATTGATTGCATGTGCCAAAAAAATAATAAAGGATCAGTATTCCACTTAGGAATGCACAAAATAAAAACAAGTGGAATAAAATTAGCAGGGCATGGTGGCGCATGCCTGTAATCCCAGCTACTTGGGAGGCTAAGGCAGAAGAATCGAAGGCAGAGGTTGCGGTGAGCTGAGATTATGCCATTGCACTCCATCCTGGGCAACAAGAGTGAAACTCCGTCTCAGGAAGAAAAAAAAAGTGAAACAGTTCCTCCCCTGGGATCCTCTTGTCTACCTGTGCACATCTGCAGGGCTTCCAGCTCATCGGCATTGAGGTGCACGTAAGAGTGAAGGATGGTCCAGTCCTGTCGGTGCCACACCAGAGCAGGCAGAGTCCTGGGGAATCAAGGCAAGAACTCAAGTTGTTGCTGGTCCACACCTTAAAGACTCAGCCTGCCCCTTCTCCTCTTCCTGAGGAGGAAATGAAGAGGGTAGAGTTTATAGCTAATCAGGGACAGAGGTGAGACCAAGTCCCAAATGTGTTAACCTCTGGGCTTCAAATTAAAGCAATGCAATGTTTTATTATTTATTTATTTTTTTGAGACAGAGTTTCACTTGTCACTCAGCCTGGAGTGCAATGGCGCGATTTTGGCTCACCGCAACCTCCACCTCCTGGGTTCAAGTGATTCTCCTGCCTCAGCCTCCCAAGTAGCTGGGACTACAGGTGCCTGCCACCACGCCCGGTTAATTTTTGTATTTTTAGTAGAGATGGGGTTTCACCATGTTGGCCAGGCTGATCTTGAACTGACCTCAGGTGACCCGCCTGCCTTGGCCTCCCAAAGTGCTAGGATTACAGGCATGAGCCACTGCACCCATCCTCTATGCAATGTTTTAAACTCTGCTCTTGGGGATCAGATCAGCTACAGAAAGCTCAAGGTGAAATTTCAAAAGATCCCTGTGGTAGCAAGGAGTGATGCTTCTAAGGTTTTCCTCTGAACATCCCACTCTGGAGACTGCCATGGAAAGGGAGTCTGAAGGTAAAATTCAAAGTTACCTCTGCAAGCAAGAAATTTTCTGGAAGTCTCCTGTTTATATTTAAAATTCTAGTAAAACTCGCAAACCACGTGTGTTTGGTTTCCTATAACACAGGTTTCTTTGAAAAAAACTTATGGTAGAATAATGACTGCAACAAGATGTATCAAATTTATCTGTGGCTTCATGAACCCCCGGTGCCCTGCTAAATATGTCAGAAGCTATGACCGGTCCAGTTTGAGTAGCATACGTAGAGGGGGAAAAGGTGATGGGATAGAAAATACAGGCTTTTGGACCCAGAGGGGGCAGGGTAAAAGTTCTGGCCCTCTCACTTAAAATCTGATGCAATCATGATCATAACAATAATAACTCCTAAAGTGTGTCTTAGAGGCTAGGTTCATGTTAAGCTAGGTACATGTTAAGCATCTTACACAAATTATTTCCAGTCTTAAAAACAAACTTGTAAGGTAGATATTATGATCATTTTACAGATAAAGAAACACAGGCTCAGAAACAATCAATTCTTTTGTTTTGTTTCTGTGACAGGGTGTCACTCCGTCGTCCAGGCTGGGCTGCAGTGACGTGATCATGGCTCACTGCAGCCTCCACCTCCTGGGCTCAAGCGATCCTCCCACCTCAGGCTCCTGTGTGGCTCGGGCTAAGGGTACATGCCACCATGCCTGGCTAATTTTTGTATTTTTTTATAGAGATGGGGTTTTGCTGTGTTGCCCAGGCTGGTCTTGAACTTCTGGTCTTAGGCAATCTGCTAGCCTCAGCCTCCCAAAGTGCTGGGATTATAGGTGTGAGCCACCATGCCCGGCCAACATTCAGTATCTTTTATGTGTTCACAGAGCTAATAAGTTGCCCTCCCAAGATTTCAACTCAGTTCTTTCTGACTATGAAGCCTTTGTTCTTTTCATTACCTTATACTTATCCTCTGCCAACCTTAATTTTCTCATTCATAAAACAGGGTAAAAATACTTCCTGGCAGGGTTCTTGTTATAAGTACATTCAATAATTTAAGGTATCTTATAAAATGCCTGGCATACAGTAAACCCAACACGAATGCTAAGTCCTCTTGCTTTGAAAAGAGGATCTGGCCGGGCACAGTGGCTCATGCCTGTAATCCCAGCACTTTAGGAGGCTGAGGCGGGAGGATCATGAGGTCAAGAGATCGAGACCATCCTGGCCAACATGGCGAAACCCCATCTCTACTAAAAATACAAAAAATAGCTGGGCGTGGTGGTGCGTGCCTGTACTCTCAGCTACTCGGGAGACTGAGGCAGAAGAATCACTTGAACCCAGGAAACTGCAGTGAGCCGAGATTGCGCCACTGCACCACTCCAGCCTGGCGACACAGCGAGATTCTGTTGCAAAAAAAAAAAAAAAGACCTAATGGCTGGGTGTGGTGGTTCATGACTGTAATCTCAGCAGAGGCAGGAGGATCACTTGAGCCCAGGAGTTCAAGACCGGCCTGGCCAAGATAGTGAGACCCCAGAAACCCCATCTTGACAAAAAATATAAAATAAAATAAAAAAGAAAAAAATTTACAAGGACCTAGTAACAAGTTAGATTTAGTAAACAAAAACTCTTTAAAAATATGTATGGCAGGTGGGGGGGCTGTTAGAGGGGACGGGGCCTGGCAGACACCTCCTGGCCCTGAGCTGACCCCCCCTGGCAAAAAAATTATTAACAATAACAAAATCTATATGTATTTTGGCCGGGCACAGTGGCTCACGCCTATAATTCCCGCACTTTGGGAGGCCAAGGCGTGAGGATCACTGGAGCCTAGGAGTTTGAGACCACCCTGGGCAACACAGCAAGACCCCATCTCTACTAAAAATAAAAATAAAATAAAATTTTAAAAATCTATATGTACTCTCAAAATAAGTCTTTGTCCTGCTCTAACATTTTTTAATTAAAACAAGAAAAAAAAAGTGTCTTTGATAAAATTGAACAGAAGGAACAATTTACCTAAAACGGGTCGGCAAACTATGGCCCATGGGCCAGCTGCCTGTCCTTGAAAATAAAGTTTCATTGACCACAGCCATGCTGAGTCATTTAAGTGCATGTCATCCATGGTTGCTTTTGTGCTACCCAGGCAGTTGAGTAGTTGGGACAGTGACCATATGGCTCACAAACCTAAAGTATTTACTGTCTGGCAAGGAAAAGTTTGCTAACCCCCTGCTCTAGAATAGTCATAAATAGTCCAAATCAGTGGCCTTGAACTACTAGAGCTAAACAGAAACTTCAAACCAAAGGTGGTATTTCACCACATGCTATTTATAGCAAATGTGCAACAGAACAGAGCACACAGTAACATCTAGTACCGCAAACTGTCTGCCAAGAAAGTTAACACTTTTTGATAATTAGAGATGATACCTGGTAAACTCCTGGACCGCTTCTATTTTGGGGTGATACACCACAATTCTTTTCTTTAGCATCAGTGCTGTGTGTAAGATAACAGTTTCCATTCCAAACTGAGATACAATGTCTTCAAGAAAGAGAAATTGTAATGTTACTGCATTACACATCATGTAAGGAAACAAAGGGTTTTTTTTTTCTTTTTTTGTTTTTTGAGACAGAGTCTCACTGTGTCACCCAGGCTAGAGTGTAGTGGCATGATCTTTGTTCACTGCAACCTGCCTCCTGGGCTCAACTGATTCTCCTGCTTCAGCTTCCTGGGTAGCTTGGATTACAGGCACAAGCCACCATGCCCAGCTAATATTTGTATTTTTAGTAGAGACGGGATTTCACAATGTTGGCCAGATCTCAGGCTGATCTCAAACTCCTGACCTCAAGTGATCCACTCACCTCAGCCTCCCAAAGTGTTGGGATTACAGGTGTGAGTCACAGTGCCTGGCCTACAAAATTATTTTTAATACAGAGAATTTAGGCAAATGTTGTAAAGCTTACAAACACTTTATTTGGTGGACGAGGGGATCTATCCTATGTCGACTTCCCAGGACGTGTGCTCTGCCCCACATGAGACTCTATGGTGGGATGCAGAGAGGAAGTTAGATTCACAAAAAAGTGAAACAACTGATGTGAAGGGAACCAGCACCTTTCTGTATCATTAAAACTTCCTGATTAAAAAAAATAATAATAAAGTGTCTGCCAGGTGCACGGTGGCTCATGTCTGTAATCCCAACACTTTGGGAGACCAAGGTGGGAGGATCACTTGAGCCCAGGAGTTTGAAATCAGCCTGGGCAACACAGGGAGACTCTGTCTCTAAAAAATGTTTAAAAAGTATATGGGGCCAGGTGCAGTGCCTCACACTGTAATCCCAGCACTTTGGGAGGCCTAAGCAGGCGGGTCGCCTGAGGTCAGGAGTTTGACACCAGCCTGGCCAACATGGTGTAACCCCATCTCTACTAAAAATACAAAATTAGGCTGGGAGCAGTGGCTCACACCTGTAATTCCAGCACTTTGGGAGGCCAAGGCAGGTGGATCACCTGAGGTCAGGAGTTCCAGACCAGCCTGGCCAACATGGAGAAACCCCATCTCTACTAAAAATACAAAATTAGGTGGGCATGGTGGCACATGCCTGTAATCCCAGCTACCAGGGAGGCTGAGGCAGGAGAATCACTTGAACCCAGGAGGCAGAGGATGCGGTGAGCCATGATCGCGCCACCCAGCCTGGGCAACAAGAGCAAAACTCTGTCTCAAAAAAAAAAAAAAAAAA